AGTTGGCTGAAGATGTTTACATGAGTCAGCCAGAGGGTTTTGTCAGTAACGAGTACCCTAATAGAGTGTGTAAGCTTGAGAAATCCATTTATGGATTAAAGCAAGCACCTCGCAGATGGAATCTTTGCTTTGATGAAAAGGTCAAGGAATTTGGCTTTTCTAGGAGTGAAGATGAATCTTGTGTATATGTCAAGGCTAGTGGGAGTATAGTTAGCTTTTTGGTATTGTATGTGGATGACATACTACTCATAGGAAACGACATTCCAACCCTGCAGGAAGTAAAGTCCTGGCTTGGAAAGTGTTTCGCTATGAAGGACCTTGGTGAAGCTGCCTATATTTTGGGGATAAGGATCTTGAGAGATCGGAGTAAAAGACTAATTGGACTTAGTCAAAGTACCTACTTGGAGAAGATTCTGAAGAGATTCAGAATGCAAGACTCCAAGAAAGGAGAGTTGCCCATCCAGAGTAGCGCCAAGCTGAGTAAGACACAAAGCCCTAGCACTGAGGCTGAGATAGCAGAAATGAGTCGAATACCTTATGCTTCGGCTGTAGGTTCGATCATGTATGCTATGACGTGTACTCGACCTGATGTAGCCTTTGCCTTGAGCATGGTTAGCAGGTTTCAGGGGAACCCTGGCAAGGCACACTGGATTGCGGTAAAGAATATTCTCAAGTACCTACGAAGGACTAAGGACTGGGTCCTTACCCTCGGTGGGAGTGATGACTTGAGAGTTGTAGGGTATAGTGATGCTAGCTTCCAGACTGATAGGGATAACTTCCGCTCTCAGTCGGGCTGGGTCTTTACCCTAAATGGAGGAGCAATTTCTTGGAAGAGTTCCAAGCAAGAGACAGTGGCAGATTCTACTTGTGAATCAGAGTATATTGCAGCTAGCGAAGCGGCAAAGGAGGCGTTATGGCTGAGGAACTTCATTGGAGACCTTGGAGTTGTACCAGCTATTAAAGAGCCGATGGAAATTTTCTGTGATAGTGAAAGTGCTGTTGCCTTAGCCAAGGAACCAAGGGATCACGGGAGATCCAGACACATCGACAGAAAATACCATTTCATCAGACATCGGATCGAAGAAGGACTCCTCGTGGCAAAGAGGGTATCATCAGATGAGAATCCGGCAGATCCCCTCACGAAGGGACTGACTCGGGTTAAGCATCTCCAGCATGCTCGGAGCATAGGGCTGAAGGATGATATTAGATTTAGTAGTTAGATAATCTCGAAATTTGTAAAGTGTAATTGACATTTGATGATGAATAAAAGTGTTTTATTTATGAGTAAAGTGTTGCTATCTCTTGTCGATCGTTTACTATATTTCTTTTGCATGTTTTGACTTCCAGAATAATTTTGTTTGGTATAACATATTATTCAAACCTCCACAGTCGGTCATATGTCGGAAGTAGGTATGAATCAAGACTGTCATGTTTGATTGTAGAGGTCTGGGACAAGGCTACAACAATCATGAGTGCTCATAAGTTCTGAGCATTGGACTCAACCCACGCTCACTGGAATCACTTCATGGAATTCTATCTCGAGTGATCGTGAGACGGTAATATCATAAAGTCTTTAAACCTAGAGATATGATTTGTTACTTACAAGTTGGTTATGCATTGATTGTACGAAAAACGCATTGGTAACTCGATGTTATAAAATCGTGCTCTTATGTGTAATTCAATGAGTAGTAGAACAAACATATGAGTCGAAGTTTATCTGTTCCTTCTTGGATTAGAAGCTGATATCTGGGCCCCTCGATGATTTTGTTTTGACCTATGTACCGGGCCCGGTCAGAACTAAATTGATGTGTTCAATAAAGTTCTTTGTCAAACAAATCGGAAATCGGGAAACAAATGTTGGACAATAAGTAAGACATTGTTCCATGTGTTTGTCCGACTGATATCTAGAACAGAGGATTATATGATCACTTATCTTAAATGACGTACCATCATCTTCTCAAGTTTCGAGAAACCTTGTAAAGAGCTACGATTGCCGATCGGTTCCTGAAGTCATACTTGCAGTAATAGTTACTAGACTTATCCAAGTGGGAGACTGTTGGATAAGGTGTCTAAGTCCATAACTATTTTGGTATGTACTTGACCGACCCGGCATGGTCCATTTGGGTTGCATGGCACCATGCAATTGGATAAACTAAATGAGAGAAATAACGCTTGGAGATTATTAATATATTATAAGTTCTAATATATTAATAATATTATTTGATTAGTTTGATCAAGAATTAATTTAGAATTAATTAAGTGATCAAAAGATAACTAATTAAATATATGGGTTGATTAAGTAAATCATCCATATCTTGTATAGTGGGCTAAAAGGCTCCATGGATCATCAAGTTGGGTTCCACCCATAGGATGCTCCATGGATGCTCCATGGGAGTTACAAACCCATGGGTCATGGAAATGAAGAGTCATGACACATTAGGGTTTAACCCTAGATGTGTCAACACTATATAAGTAGTATGATCTCCTCCCAAATCGGTTACACTAAGGAAAAAGGGGGCTTGGCCGATTTTGAAGAGTGTGTATTCTCTCATAAGTTCTTCCAAGAGCATTTGGTGTTGTGTGAAGCATTTGAGGCATCACACTTGGGGTGCTAGGCTCACAAGGTTTCAAGGAACACAAGCAACAACAAGGTAAGTTATTCTATCTATACTTTATGTTAAAATTGTTCCCCATGTATGCTAGATAGGAATATAACCTTGGAAATCAGCTTTGCATGACAAATTAGACAAACATAGATCCAAGGTTATTAGGGTTGCATGTACACTTAGGAAGTGTTAGAATGCTCAAAACCCATCACTAGGCTCACAAGGTTTCAAGGAACATACGCAACAACAAGGTAAGTTATTCTATCTATCATTCAAGTTAAAAAATTGTTCCCCATGTATGCTAGATAGGAATATAGCCTTGGAATTCAACTTTGCATGATAATTAGACAAACATAGATCCAAGGTTATTAGGGTTGCATGTACACTTAGGAAGTGTTTAGAATGCACAAAACCCATCAGATTTTGAGAAGATAGCAGTTGTGTTAATTGCATTCTCAAATTCGATTATGATTACAACATCCTCTTCATAGTTCGAATTGTGAAAAATAGAAAATAGTTTGAACATTCGAGACTTATTGTTGTAAGGTTTGAAATAGTTTAGACACACATATGGGCTTTATAATAGAAGGTGTATGTTCTTAGATAAAGACTTATCGAAACATCCCGTATCAAAAATCTGGATTTTTGGGTATATGTCAAAGCTATTGGGAGCATAAGTGTTATGCTAATAGGAACGTATCTATCATGATAGTGGGGGCATGATTATCATGTGAAGTGTTGAAAGTTAGCAATATTGGTTATAAGAAACAAAGGTTAAGAATTTTGCAAAGTTGTAGAATGTGAAAAGTTGTTTCGCTATAGTAAGGGAGAGGATAGTTATACTTTATTTCGAATCTAAAAGTTTAGATTGAAGTATTAATTAAGATTAGTCATGAGCATATATGAATACCATTTTGAAGTATTTCAACATTGGAAATTCTATATATGGAATTATTATAGCAAAAGACTAGTCAAGTATCATGTCTTTATGTAAGACATTATGAATCATATCCCATATGCTTCGGGTATAGGATCGATTGCATGTGCTATAATACTCATGCGTTCTAATTTTATAAATGACTAGGGCGTTAAGAGGACTAGAACCAGATATGACTAAGGTTATTAAACAATTGTCAACGAAAATCAAAGGTTCGTTAAGGCTAGATCACTTGTAGTTGGAAGTATAGTAACGAATGGACCATATTGACATTATTATGAATAGATAGGATTCTATTTATAATGAATTTCCATATGGAATATATGGAAATGTTTCCATAATAGGAGTTGGGTATTAAGAATCTATGTGAAGGATAGAAAAACTTTTGTGTAAGAAGGATGTTTAAAGGAATGGACTTTAAATTTGAGACTTCACTTCCATGGAATTGTTCTTGTGAAAATATCCAAAGGAGTATTTTGTAATATCGTTGGCAAAGTCTCTATGACTTTTCTACCTCGACATTACAAAAGGTACATTGCATGATAGTTTAGAATCTAACATATTCTAGCAGTGACAAGAATCTGGTATTCTTACACTTGCAATAAGTATTTGGATTTGTGAAATGATCATCATTGAAAATATATTCAATTGATCTATTTCACAAAGAAATGAGCATCACCCACTGTGGCATCGCGGCAGCAACATCTGTTGTGGCTGCAGCAGCAGCCACCTCGGTAACATCAGCATACCTCTCATCGAACGTCTCAATCAGCGTGGTCTTGATAGACCCAAATATTTCCGGAATGGCCTCCCAGATCGGTGCGGCCACCTCGTCATGTATCATCTGACGAATCTCCTCGTCGTTAGCGTCCCTGTCCCTTGGTGTGTGGAGTGTCCCAACCATGATGTCTCTGAAGCACAACACAAAAGATATCAGAGACTCGCTCGAGTATCCTCGCACTCGATAAATCAGTCCTACTTATTCCACTACTAGAAAAACATCCTTTTACGACGCGCAAATGCGCGTCAAGGAAGGCCCTGTCATAAAGAGAGACGACACGCATTTACGACTCTCATTTACGACGCGCAATTACGACGCACGTTTACGACACGCAATGCGTATCAAGAAAGGCCCTGTCATAAAGGAAGACGACACGCATTTGCATGTCGTAACCTTACGACGCGCGTGTTAATGACACCCATAGCGTATCATGAAAGCCACTGTCAAGAAAGGCCATGTCATAAATGAGGATGACACACATTTTTGCGTATCATAATTTTAGATGTTTTAAAAAAAATATTATTTATAGATTTACTTATTTTCAAATTAAATTTGTATTTAATGTTTCATAATAGAAAATAAAATATCATATACAAAAAATAGAATCCATTGCATAAATTTAATGTCATAAAAATAATTGTTCGAATGACTAAGGGGATCCGATTGTACATTGTTATTAAGAAAATGGAAGTATATTGTTATAGTTAGAAAATAAATGAGAGTACAATGCGCTACGTTTGGTTCCTCTCATATAGTTTCTGTCTTCAAGATTGCTATCCAATAAGCTTTTAGTATTCACATGTAGAAATTCCATTGCAAAATGCACACCTGAGAGCTCACATCCAGGAACAGGGAGGTCTCGTGGATTTGTTGCCCCCACTACTAAAATAACCGCATCATTCTCTTCGCGAAGGCATTCAATTGAGTACACCGGATCGCTTCCTATTTCCAGGATAGAGGAACTGCAAAATAGACAAGAGGGTATTTATGTCTTTTTGCAAGTTTCTTCATATAATGAAGAAACAATCTAATATTTTTATAAACTAAGGAAATGCTCGAAATAGATAAAACTGAATAAGCATTTTAAGGGAATTTTCAACGATGAAAGTGACGAGGGTATTTACGTGTTTTTGGGTGGAACAAAATATTACAACTAGATATTTGAAACTTTCCTTACACAAATCATTCAAAGATGGTCACCTGAAATTGGAGCCATTCCAATATTTGAATACAAGAGAGGTGTCAATTACTCTTGTGTGAATTGTCTTCAATGCTGCATACAAAAGTTACACAAGGGCAAATTCGTAAAAAGTCCAACTTTCTCAATTAAGTCAAGATAGAGACCAAGAAAATACTTCATGTATTAATCAATTCAACCCCGTTGTTTTCAGGTTTCTTCTTATTGGTATCCGTACAAACCGTGAAGGGACCAACTATTATCGTTAGATTATATAATATGTATAAAAGCATTAATAATTAATTCAGGTATTATATCCTCAAATATACCTTTGATGTACCAGTGACAAATTGAAGCAATTCGCCCTATCTTCCTTGTTAAGTGATTTCACAACCTCCCAAAACCACACAACAACACTAGAGCCTACTCTGTATCCTGTGTATTCAACATTAGCCTTCAGATCATCCACTGCATTAAAAACAATTAATAAGGCAAGGTTAAATTTAATCATGTATACTCACAAAGGAGGCAAAATAAAGTATCTATATTGCCAAATTACTATGCATTCCTACCTTGAGAACATAATTCATGTCTTGAGTTGCTGCTAACAACCCCCTTGAAAAAATGGACCAAGAGTACTTATATAAATGTGACTTGTTTCACTGCCAAAAGAAACAAACATTCAATCAAATAGTTGGCGGGCATAATGTTACCCCAAAATTTACTCTGAGAGAAATGAGCGAGTCCTGGTGTGTATGGGTCAAAAAATACAAATACAAAATTAAAAATAAAAAAGATTGGAAGAAAATCACAAAATTTAACCTTAATAAGTAAAGGAAGCTCACCTGCAGTTGTGTCAAATTGTAGAAAGCGCGTCATTAAAGGTCATTTTTCTAGTAGTGTGTGGAAGCCGATTAAATAAATTAACATCTTGATGTAAACCTTAAAAGATACTATTATCATGTAGTAACATTAACTTTCTTGCTACAAAATCAAGGGGCCATATGTTGATCACATTTCAAGATTTAATTACATTTGCAAACTATTTAAATTCAATCATGCAATTTTTCAATCTAATTGTTTTGTTGCAATTTTTCAATCTAATTGTTTTATTGCTATTCATGTAGTAACATTAACTTTCTTATCAGTTGTTTTCAGTGCTTAAAAAAAGTTTAGTATGCTTCAATAACATAATGTTAAACATATTAAAATTAACTTTGCACTATTTTAAATCTGTTTAGTACGTGAAAATAATTCTACAACAACATGAATAGAAATGCACATACCAATTTGAAAATCGAGACATTTCAAAACATAAAACTTTAAATATGAAAACTAACAGTGGAGTACCTTTGTTAGGCATTACCCAGAAAAAAAAATACAAGTGGAATTAAAAATATATTTTTAACAAGAAATAGTCAAAAACATTGTATTATATAGTGTATACAAATAGTATTTAGGAATTTAAAACTGACCAGTTCTCTTATCACGACGTACGCCTTCAGCATTTCGCCCACTTATAGAAAGATACATTTTTTGAAACCTGCAAGTAATATAATCAGTAAGTGGAGAGGGGTAATCTTGACCTTCTACAACAAGGTTTCAGACAAGAGTTTGAGACAAAAATGTAATTTTTTTACCCATCCATAAAAGCTCACAATCTCTCATATGTGCAAAAGACGTTAACACCCTCCACATTCTCATCATCGAAAATAGTCTTAAAAGATTATTTAGTCCCTTCCAGATCTTTTAAGCGCACTTTCAACACTAAGGATGCGGAGGGTATCAATGTCTTTTTGCAGAGACGAGAGCGAATCGCTATTCCGCCTTTATTGAGGACAAAAAAAACCCATTAGCAAATAACAAAGGAGTGATATGATTACCTCAACCAATCATCCTTATTTGTTTTAGCAATTTCTTCTTTTATATCTTTACCACTAACTAAACAAGTTTTGGCCTCTTCGATTCCTTGATAGGTTTTCTCGGGGGAGAAAGATCATCATGTGGACGATTATGCACCCGTCGGGGAGGAGAAATATCAGACTCTCGACTTCGGCCCTTTCGAGGAGGAGAAAGATCAGATTTTGATTCTGGTGTATCATTATGTGCCCTTCGTTTATAGGGTAGGGACATGTCGGAATTCAATTCTGATATATGTTTGGATTCTGATTCGGTTCTGGTGTATCATTCTGGGCCCTACGTCTACGTGGCAGAGAGATGTCGGAATTTTTAGCAGTAGCAGACACGCGAACCCAACCGCTTCCATCTTCAGAAATAGCACCAAAAGGTCGCAAGCATTTAAGTTGCTCTAATCTTTTCATTCACTTCACTTCAATATCTTCATCAACTTGTGGCTTCTCTTCATCTGTACATTATAAGGGTGATTATAATTGGGTAGCAATGTAAATTTATAAATCATCTTCCTATTACATTATTGTACGTTGAAAATCTACCAATTATATTTATAGCAATATCATCTAAATACAAAGCAATTTGCATTGCTATAATTGGATAAATTCATGAAAGTACAATACATTAACAAAGAACATTAACATCAAACGTGAAGCAATCTACTGAACAAGAAATTTTATTGGCATACCTTGTGACTCATCATCTTTTTCTTCAAGCTGAACTGGACTTTTCCAAACAGGATCCTCATCAACAACAAGAACACTATTCATACCAGGCTTAGTTTTCATCTTCTTTTTCTTCTTCTTCTTCTTCTTCTTCTTCTTCTTCTTCTTCTTCTTCTTCTTCTTCTTCTTCTTCTTCTTCTTTTTTTCTTCTTCTTCTTCTTCTTCTTCTTCTTCTTCTTCTTCTCCTCCTCATTATTTTCGTATCTTTTCAAATACTCCATGAGTGAACTGGACCCTGAAGATGGTGCTACCATGGTTGTTCTTCAAGCCCTGCTCCCAAAAAAAAACATTATGTTTTATGTTTTAAGGTTCAATCATATAAAATATGTAACCGAGCTTGTTTCTTTTCTTTTTTCCATTAAGTGTTGTCAAGAATCAAGATAAATGATATGTTTTAAGGTTCAATCATATAAAATATGTAACAGAGCTTGTTTCTTTGCTTTTTTCCATCAAATGTTGTCAAGAATCAAGATAAATGATGAAATGAGATGTGCAGATGAATTTTAAAAGTTTTGTGTAAACTAATCAGTGGTGGAAATATGAGAAACAAACAATAATACAGTTGTATTTCACTTTTTATTTAGTTATCTTCATTTTTAAGTCTATTCAAGTATGAGACATTTTATACTCTTAAAGAGATAAAAGGAATTAACAGATGAAATAAATGCAGGGAACAATAAGAACTATCAGTTTTTATTTAATCATCTTCATATTTATACTCTCTAATTTACGGTTTTCCCTCGTTTACACCATCAATGAACACACCATGTGCATTTCTTTTTTTAGAGTGTTTTAAAGGACCATTATGTTATGTCCTATCTACATAGAAATGACCAACCTGTCCTCATCGCCATTTATAACTTTTAAAGCATGTATGTATGTATAAACATAAACTTATGATCACTAATATCAATTTACATTCACAAAAGAATATGAATGTATGCAGCTTGCTTGGATATTGCAGCTAAGGAAGGATTGGAATTAGAAAGAAAAAAAATGTAATTGGGAAAGAAAGTAGAGGAATAGACCTCAATAGCCATGTGTGCCCATTTGTTCCCCATTTTAGCATGGAGTTCAATGATGTGGCGTTCTTCCTTTGGTGTAAATGCACCTTTTTTGAGATCAGGTCTTAAGTGATTTTCCCACCTTAAACGACAGCTTTTACCACAACGAGAAAGCCTAGAGTGGTTCTGAACAAGTAAATAAATAAATATTATCATGATTTAATTTAAACAATGAAATAAACAGTTGAAATATAAAAATGTGTATGAAAAAAGGTTTTACCTTCTTTGTTGAGTTGCAGAAAAGTGAACAATTTGCCTTGTCTACACTGCACATTATAGAGAACCAAATTTAGTTCACTAATGATACAAAAGTGAAGTACCACAAGGGTAATATGGTCAGTTAGTTGAAGTGTTTGAAATGGAATCAAAATGCACTTTTGGTTGTAATTTTTCTCTCAGGCATTTCATCATACAGTTGGCAAGCCCTAATTTGAGAAAAACGGAAATAAAAGAGAAATGGAGAAACTACCGTCTTGTTCAATGGAAATTGGAAGAGTGCGTTCATGACCATGACTCCATGAGTCTAAAATCATTAAAATTGTTTAACTTTTAAGTGGAAATAAAAATACAGGTACCTGTTCTCTTGATGAACATGTCAATTTTTTTTTTTTTTTTTTTTTTGGGGGGGGGGGTATGTTGTGGCGTTTATATTACTATGGAGGCTAGCGATTTTTGGGCTTCCGTTTATTATAATTTTAGCTATACCTGGTTTTATTTACGGAAGGGTTATTATGAGCTTGTCGCGAAAGATCAGAGAGGAGTACAATAAGGTTGGTACAGTGGCGGACAGGCGATTTCATCCGTGAGGACCGTTTATTCTTTTGTGGGTGAAAACAAGACAATAACAGAGTACTCTGTTGCTTTTCAAGGTACTGTGAAATTAGGGCTAAAGCAAGGTTTGGCTAAAGGAATAACAATTGCCACCAACGGCGTCGTTTTTGCAGTTTCGTCTTTTTTTGTCTTGGTATGGTAGTAGGATGGTGATGTACAATGGAGCTAGCGGAGGAACTGTATTTGGTGTTGGAGCTGCCATCGCAATTGGTGGAGATAACCCATAAATAAAAATCAAGAAAAGAGGAAAATAAAATCAAAGAAATATCAAAGTATCCAGACCTGGGTAATTAAGAAACCCAAAAATGATGAAGATTGGCCAAAAACTCTAACATGGGAAATGTAAATCAACGAACCCTTGGCGATCTGAATCTTGAAGAGTTAATACTTGGGTGGCCTTCCATATCACGGTTCCTAGTTTCATCGATGCCTATACATCCGAACAGAACACACTACGGTGTGAGTGAAGGCTAGGGTTCTTGAATGAGAACAAATAATTTTTTGAGAAAGTCTTTGAAGATATTGTGGAGAAAAGAATACGGAAAGAAGCATGTCAAGGAATACTACAAGAACACTGTTGGCGAGTATTATCAAGAATAGAAAAGAAGAAGTGGGTGAAATCACAGCAGAGATGAAACAAATGAATGGAAATTAGAAGCCTTTTTTTTATTGAGATGATGAAGTCGAGAGATGGAGATGAAATCGTAACCTTGGATCTTTGATTGAGAAGTTGCACAACAGTGTGAGGAGAATGAAAGATGCGTCAAAACTCTTAGGGCAAAGAGGGTAGCAGGCTTTTCTAATTTTTTAGCTTTTCTTTTCCCGCTTATAACTATGGAACGCGCGTTCATAAAAATTATAAAGCGACAGCTACAGACGACGCACATTTAAGATACAGCGCCCTCCGTGTTTTTAATTTTTTTTCTTATGACACTTATTTAAAGGCACGCAATAATGCGTGACCTAAATCCTTAAATTCTCTGAAGAGATGACACTTTTTAATGTCACTCTCATTTGCGTAACATAAATCAATGAGTGTCGTGGTTTGCGCGTCGTAAAAGGTTGTTTTCTAGTAGTGTTCCCTAGTACCCTAATGATTTTTACTTGGACTGCGCATTGATCCAGTGTTTCAGGAGTACGGGCCCTATACTACCTTCCACACTACATCAACATTCATTCCAAGTAGACTTCTCATAAGCTCCTCACTGCTATCTACTCACTCTCGAAGCATCTCATTGCAGCAGTAATCTCCTAAGCTAAGGCATCACAAATCAGGTCACTCTAGTCCTAATAGGAATACCTAGCCTACTATAGCATGCATTGATGGTTTTAAAGCAAAAGAACATCCTATGTGCTCATGCAAAACCCTAAAGCTTGGATCTAGGCTTCTCTATTATACATGTAATTAATCCAAGACTTGAAACCCTAGATCTAGCATGTATAATTCAAAATTAACATTATAAGAACAGATCTAAGTGTTTACCTCTTTCAATTGGCTTGAAATCCTTTGAATCTTCTTGATCTTGAGCTTAGAGTCACAATTGTAACTCCTCTAATGGATCACAAACACCACAAGCAAGAAGGATATTATGAGAGAGGAGGAAGAACACTAAAATTTGGCCCTAGGGTTTCACTTGGAGTCAAGCATCCGAAAATGGCATCCAAAGGCCCCTATTTATAGTGTAGGCTGCTAGAGTTTCAGTCTAAACCCTAATGGACAGCTTAGTCACCAAGCAGGCCATGAAACCTTCTAGATTAGGGCCTTTGGACAAAAATATGATGGATCCCCATCATAATTTCATTCCCTTTTAGTCCATTAGGTTTCCGAGCCCAAAACTCAACTATCACATATTTGACAATTTATGCCCCTTTATTCAATTAATCTATTTTCCTCACCAAATTAATTCCTATTTAATTTATGACTAATATTAATCAAATAATATGATTTCTCATTTAATATATTATTCTTATAATATATTTATAAATCATAATATATTCTCTATCTCCTAAATAACCTTGTCAAGTTGCTTTGGTGAAGGCAACCCAAAAGGACCATGTGCAACCGGGTCAAGTACATACCAAATATAGTTACGGGCTTAGCCGCTAATCCAACATTGATAAATATCATATCATATCTCATAACACACAATATAAGGGTATTTTGGGAAATCAGCGTTCGGGCGCTGACTGATCGTACACACTACTTCTTTCCGTTTTCCTCACATTCCTTTACTTTTTAGAAAAACTGTTTCTTTAATGAAAAACTTTCTCAAATCCTCAGTTTGAGTCAAATACACCCGAAGGTGCATCCGAATCCCTCAAAGCAAGGCTCTGATACCAATTTGTAACAACGTGAATTTTTAAAACAATTTTATTTTTAAAACAAACATAATTCACATAATTCATTCCAAAAACTCAAGTGTCAAATGTCATCTAAAATAAACATATATACAAGAATCTCAAAATAAATAAAACTCCATCAATGTGTAGAGATCATGCTGACACCTTCCTGTAATCCTTACTGATACCTGAAACACATATCACGTAAACGATAAGCATAAATGCTTAGTGAGTCCCCCAAAATACCACGTACAACACATACGCCACTCAAGGCTACAACTCTACAAGACCTTTCGTTCAATGTGTCTCAGGGGACTTCCGTCCCATAGACCTTCTGATCCCACTTCTTTGACTTTCTGGTCCGTATCATCTTGACCTTCCGGCCCATACACTGTTGACCTTTCGGTCCATATCATAGTACTCATAACATAACATAACACATACATATCATATAACAACATACATCACATACTCATCATAGCACATAAGACCTTCTGGTCACACATAATTACCACACTAAGTAAAGTATAGTGAGAAGACTCACCTCGTACGATGTTGGATAACCTCTCGCTCGATAACCCGACCTAGCCTCCTCCTATCAACATAATAACATCTCTAATCAATACTTTCTCTTGTCCTCATTTATAAAGAATGGGTAGAAGACCATTCTACCCCTCCCTGACCTCTCTTGGACCAGCTTGACCAAAACCCTAAGGTCAATTGAAGTCAACTCTAGTTAACGGCCAACTTTGACCAAACTCGAGTGCACTCGTGTGACTCGGTGAGTCCATGTGTGTCCTTTAATCCTCATGAATCATCACTCGACTCGTCAAATTAACCTTTCACTCAACGGGTTACCACTTGTCACGAATTACGGGGCAACCCGACTCGACTCGTCGATGTAACACCGTAAATTTCCAAAACAATTTTTTGCATTGATGAAAACATAATTCATTTCTAAATCATAAAAATATCATTGTTTGAAACTCAATTTATAAGATATAAAAATCCCAAAATCTCATATCATAAAAATCATGTGTGTACTGATCAAGCCGGCGCCTTCCCGCGATCCTCACTACAACCTGAAACACATAACAAAAAACACTGTAAGCACAAAGTTGAGTGAGTTCCCCAAAATACCACATATAACACATATTAGCCACTCGAGGATATAACTCTGTGGTTTCGTGCACCCAAAACTCTGTGAACCCTCAGGTTCTAACTCTGCAAGCATGTACATCATAAATCACAAAGAAGAATGCAGTGCAACAAGCAATATATATGAAACATTGTATCACATAACTCTATTTACCTACTCAAGGTAAAGTATAGTGAGAAGACTCACCTTGCGTATCTCGGTAACTCGTAAATCCCTGAAATCACTAGTGCTCGATCTCCCAAGCTATAGTCCTCCTATACACAAATATATCTCTAATTAACACTTTCCCAACTAGGATTGACTAACTTTATCAAGTCAACATCGGTCAACTCTGGTTAATGGTCAACAGTTAACCCAACTTGCCGATTCTGGCGTCGACTCGCCGAGTCCCTACAAGGACCCAATTCCTCTGAACCGCTTTCGACTCACCGAGTCACTCACCCAACTCGGTTACCCAACCCCTGGTTCGAAAACACGGAATAACTCGCTTCAACTCGCCGAGTCTGCCAATGGACTCGGTGAGTGCATTCCATGCATAACCCTAAACGACCTTCTGAGGTCAGATCTGTTCCACTAGCTTATAGATCCAGTCTTTCCAAGCTTATTTATCACGTAAAGTTTATGTCTTGGCGCTCATATCACACCTATTGACTCATAAATGGTGTTTTAACCTCACACACAATGATCCCAAACCAAAACCTCCATAGACTCATAAAAAGCTTGGACAAAGAGGCACTCTGGACCTCCATGGGTCTAAATCCATAACCTAACTCTCTTAGGGGACCATGGGAGCACTAGATCTAGTCACAAAAGGGCTCAATAAGCTCTAAATCAACATGAACATCACCTTAATAGAAAATGGTTCGAAAATAGTACCTCAAACGTGATGTTCTGCACCTCAGAACTTCAGGAAGTTAACCCTCTTGCTTCCTCTTGGCTAAAGCTTCCTTTCCTTTGCTAGACAACAACTCCAAGGTTGATAATGGCTCCTTCTCTCACTCCAAACGCTCAAGTTCACTAGGGTTTCGCTCTAGGGGATGGTGAGCACAAATGACGGCCATAAGGCCCTTTAAATAGGCCCCAAACCCGAGAAATTAGGGTTTCATTAAACATAGTGGACTTACCGAGTCCACAAATGGACTCGCCGAGTCCGGTCATGAAATAAAATGAACATCCGCGTCCCTACTCGGCGATTCTTGGCGCCAACTCGCCGAGTCCCCTCATAAACCCCAAAAATATAAATGAATAAAAATATACCTGGGAATACGGATGTTACAATTCTCCCCCACTAGAATCAGACTTCGCCCTCGAAGTCTCACTCTGAAAACAACTCCGGATACTGCACACGCATCACACGCTCCGGTTCTCAATTAAGCTCCGACCCTTTTCGATGCTGCCACTGGACCTGTACCAGGAGCACCTCCTTGTTCCTCAGAACCTTGATTTTCCAATCCAAAATCACAACTGGTC